CGTTGAAATCGATATACATCATAGCCACATTAATTTCGTGAGTAAAGGGAAAGTAGACCTTGGTTGGCTTGTTTTTTTAACATTTAAAGGATGAATTATATTCATGATAAGAAGGTTTCAGGACCACGAATAGACCTTGAATAAAAGCTGCATCCGCTTTAGATTGTATAAGCGGATGAAGAACCTGACAGTAGATTTTTCACACCTTCATATGAATAAGCCCCACGATACCATTTAAATTCATTTAACCTTTCTTCCTAAAAAGCAGTGTCATCCCGGCCGGACTTCCATTTTTACCTCACTTGGGAATTTTCAGCAGCACCAACAGAAATTGAACTCGGGTAATGCAGGGCATGTTTGTTACATGTTACTACTACGCCACGCTGCCATGGATGCCAGTGAGTCACAGACCGAATGTTGGTTTCAAATCCAGGCCCTTAGAATATCACATTTTTGTAGCCGGAGTATTGCTCATTTCGAGACGTACACAATGCAAATATAAATGATTTAGTCGGTTGTACTAAAAAATACAAGTTTGCTTTATTGACAAGCTCACAACAAAATGTATAATAAAGGCCTGGTGTGGCGTTACATCCATGTTTACCCTGTGACCCTCTGGCACCCATGATAGAATGGTGTGATGTTAAAATGTCGAAAGTATATGCTGCATCACCCAGATTAGATTTCCGTCAGGGGTGCTGATGAAACCCAGGCTGGGTCGACACTAATGTCCAGTCCAGTCTGACTTAAAATAAATATGAAGAGTAGAGAAGATAACTTTTCTATGGAGACATTCATTTCGAATGAAAGGGCATGATGAAGATATTCATTAGTGGGCTTCACCTGAAGGCGACGGCCGATTCCCGTTATTCTATAGCGGTCGGGCTTTAATACGACGTTAGTGTTACTGCAGTACATGAGACATTCTCCTTCATTTCGGGTGAAATCTGGCTGAACTTTTGTCCATCATATGACGAGAAAAGGCAGAGATCACATTTAATTATTTCAATCAGGTTAAAGTGTTGGGTGAAGAGATTCAAAGGTCGGTTCCACCAGAAGACGACTGCGGATTCCTCTTGACCAGCTATCGATTGGCTTTACTGCAAGATTCATGCTGCACTGTTTCCGAGGTAATCTCCTTCAATTCCAGTAAAAAGGTGCTAAGCTTTCGTCCGTCATAGGACGAGCATTATCAGAGCCAGGTATCATCGTCACGACAAAATTCAAGCTAGCGAGTTAAGAAAACTCACAGGCAAATCCCTAAAAAGTTGTATATATACTCTACATCTGGCCTCTTTGATCAAGTATAAAGTGATTTGGTTAGTTAAAGTCATACGTCAACTTCGATGCATGTAAGTGTGTCTGTCTCTGTATTTGTATGTGCCTGTTTTGTTCGCTTATGCACGAAACCCGAAGTGATGGCTCAGAGTAATTAGGACAGCAAAAAGGAACGCATGTTTTTGGTCATCAATGTTTGATGAACCCTATCTCCTCCTTTCTATATTTAAGTTATAACCATCACTTCGATTGCGCAAAGTCGGACACTCGTCCAAATTACTTTAGGCCATCACTGCGGGTTTTGTGTATAAGAAAAACCTAAACAGGCACATACAAATACAGTTGACAAACACACTCACATGCTTCGAAGTTGACATATGACCTATACTAGCCAAATCACTTTTTACTTGATTAAAGAGGCCAGATGTAGAGTATATATACCACTTTTTAGGGATTTGCCGGTGAGTTTTTTTGATTCGTTAGCTTGAATTTGCTTGTAAGGATGATACTTTGCTCTGATGAGGTTCGTCATATGACGGACGAAAGCTTAGCACCTTTTCACCGGAATCGAACGAGATTGCCTCGA